TGGACTGGATGGGCCACTGGCCTGATCCAACATGGCTTCTCTTATGTTCTTATGTCTGGGGCAGTGATGCTCTGTATTCTTGGTGCTTGGGAGGGGCAACAGTGGGAGGGCTTCTGGAGTTCTGGCCCCGCTGGTGGACCTCCTGATGGCACCTGGTATTTCTGGCCACTGTGTGACACAGAGTGTTGGACTAGATGGGCCACTGGCCTGATACAACATGGCTTCTCTTATGTTCTAACTACTTCCCAAAATTCCGTTCATCTGAAAATTATTGAAGGACTAAACAATAAGTGACATAACTCTTGCTGTACCCCGCCTCCATAAATTTAAATTTTTTGCTAGAAAAAATTACCATGTAAGAGTACAATTCACTTTTTTAAAAAGTTGCATGTTTTATCAGAATACCTTGAAGAAAATTCATCGAAGTCTGAGAGAAGGTCGCAGACCCGAAGGCCTGTCCGCGCAGCTTTGGAAGAATAGGTTGGTCCGATTCCTTTCTTTGTTGTGCCGATACTACCAAAACAAGAAAATAATAAATTGTTATCGAAGGCTGGTAAAGCAAGTCTTATGATAAGACAGATTTGAATATATTATAATTTGGAATTGCTCAAAAAGGCTCACATTTCACTTTGTAACTTAAAACTCCTAACAGAAATAATTTCTTCCCTCTTAGATGTCACTTGAAATTTTGGGAGGGGGGTATGGGTAGAAGAGGACTGATGTCCAGTCATTCGGTATGTTGAGCCTACGGGAAACTCCAAAAGCCTCATCATACATCACACAAAAATATTTTTTTCGGGGAGGGGGCTGTTCCCTTCACGAGCTATCCAAATGACACTACTTGATCCTACCATCCTTTAATTCTTTCAGTTTAGAAAAGAGCAACCAAGGGGTGACATGATAGAAATTTATGAAATTATGCATGGGATGGAAAGAGTTGACAGAGAGAACCTTTTCTCCCTATCCCAAAAATACTAGACCTCAAGGGCATCCAATGAAGCTGATGCTACTGTAATAGCCAAGATATACTTCCACCAACCCAGTCCCTGTGTTACTGCCTTCACTCGCATAGTTTCATGATAGATTCTGCAGAGTCATTGGCAGAGCTACGAAGTCATTGCCGCTTCAACGGGTCCCCCTTGCGTCTCCCTCCCAAGGTTCACACGGGGGCTGGGAAATGGCGCACGTGACAAAAAGTGGATTCCACGCCAAGGGGTGTGTTCCAGCTGAGGTTCCCGTGGGTCTCCTCTCTTTCCCCGCCCTTCACCCATATCTTTCACGGCTCTTCCAGACAGGATAGAGGAGTATCACTTCCACTTCACTGACCTAGTTAAACCCAGCATAGGGGGCACAGCCCGGAGGAAGAGAAGCGTGACAGCTAGGAGAGCGTTCTACATTTCCTAAGTCACTAGGGATGCTGCCGACATTTAGGGGTTGCACACAGATGCTATCCCTTCTGGAGAGAGAGGAATATTTATCTGCTCAAGGAAGAATCTTCTCTGCCACTGAACAGTCAGACGATAGGATCCTGACACACAGTGCCGAGGCTCGGCTGTCGGATTTGAGCAGATGTGACAAAGGAGCAAATTTGGCTGCACACAGATGCTATCCCTTCTGGAAAGAGAGGAATATTTATCTGCTCAGGGAAGAATCTTCTCTGCCACGGAACAGTCAGACGATAGGATCCTGACACACAGTGCCGAGGCCCGGCTGTCGGATTTGAGCAGATGTGACAAAGGAGCAAATATGGGAGGACAATAGTGGGAGGGGGCTTCTGGAGTCCTGGCCCCACTGCTGGACCTCCTGAGGGCCCCTGGGTTTTGGCCAAGGTGTGACACAGAGTGTTGGACTGGATGGGCCACTGGCCTGATCCAACATGGCTTCTCTTCTGTTCTTATGTCTCTGGGGTGGGGATGCTCTGTATTCTTGGTGCTTGGGGGACCACAGTGGGAGGGATTCTGGAGTTCTGGCTCCGCTGGTGGACCTCCTGAGGGCCCCTGGGTTTTGGGCACTGTGTGACACAGAGTGTTGGATGGGCCATTGGCCTGATCCAGCACGGCTTCTCTTTTGTTCTTATGTGTGCAACTCTTGCTATGCTCCATCCAACGGACAAGCATCCCTTGCTGCAGTTACAATCTTCCGCCACAAGAGTGGCTGGAAAAGTTTGTGTGGAATCCCTTGTGATATTGCTACAGTAGTTTCCATGCTATATCTTTAACACTACGGGTATACTGCGCAACAAACATTTTTCACAATTAGGAACACTCCCATTGTTTGTCTGCTGCAGAATGAGAAAACAGGTGCCACGTTCCAAGATGCAGGAACTGTATAGGAGCATCATACACAGAATGGGGTAAGCCAGTGTGAAATAGATGGGTGTGCAATGCGCACAGGGCTTTTTGTTTTGTTTTTTTTGTGGGATTTTTTTTTTAAAAAAAAGAGGTGCCGGAACTCTAAAGAAGGAAATGAAGTTTTCAATCTGCGTACTGAAAACTCATGAACTTTTAAACATCTTTAAAAGAATTGTGTTGAAGAGGTTCCAGAACTCTGTTTCCGGTGTGTTCCCCCAGAAAAAAAAAGCCCTGGGTGTGCGATTTGAACCCGGGATTCAGATCCTCATTCGGCTATGAAGCCTGCTGGGCAACCTGAGTCGGTCGCCATATCTCAGCCCAACCTACCTCACAAGGCTGTTGTGGGGAACCAGAATCCTCAACTATACAGCTGCCCAGAGCTCCTCGCAAGGAATGGCAAATTACAAATTTGCTACATCCTATATGTCAAAGCGGTGGCCCCCAATATTTGGGATCCTATTCTGTACTACGTGGCGGCCTGATAGCCCAGCCCAATCTTGTCAGAGCTGGGGAGCCAAGCAGGGTCAGCCATGGTCAGTACCTGGATGGGAGACCACCAAGGAAGCCCAGAGTTGCTGCACAGAGGAAGCCAACAGCAAACCGCCTCTGCTCATCCCTCGAAAACCTCCATGGTCCTGGGGCCGCCATCAGCCTGTTAAGACTTAGCAGCCCCCAATTATTATTATTATTAGTCTACACCATATGCCGTGAGATTTATATTCTTTACAGTCCTACGCCAAATCTAGTAGCAACAATTAAGACATATAATTACTTTTTCCCCTCTTGGGCTTGCCGCTGAACTTCTTGAAGTCCATCAACTGCCTGGTGAAAATCAAACACTGCACAGCAGAAGGAAAGTCACAGGAAGGAGAATCGAGGAAAACAAAGAGAGTTTGGTTTTTTCAAAATATCACACACGCACACACATTTGCAACTTTAGCGGCCCAATAACCATCATCTGCTAGAGCAATTACAACTCTTACTTATTGCCTTAAGTAAATTTGAGTCGGGGTTACTTACCTCCTAGGTAAGAAACGCACGAACTCTACTCAATGCAAGTAAGAAGCTGGAGCAGCCAATCAAAATTCTCACAACACTAAAAGGGCCAGCTACTCGCTCATGTTAAGTACTTTGCTCCGCCTGACTAAAACTCACCAATATGTGCTCTGTCTGATATGATCAGTCTTTTCTCCCAGTCTCTTAAACCTGTTGAAAGAAATTCACTGCCAGTTAAGACCAATTTTTTTTTGCTGAATTACAAGTTATCACAACACTCAGGACAATGGAACCCCCAGGGCTTAACAGAGATATAGGTTTCTTATCTCACGACACACGGCTAAGTCACTCAGTTCTCACTGATACCCAGAAAGCAAACTTTGTTGGTCTTAAAGGTGCCACTGGACTCAAACTTATTTCTCACATCTGTTGTAACCTCATTTATTATCCGTATGCCAATTTGTTGCTGTTTACATGTCTTGCCAAACATGTTATTCCAATCTTGGCTGTATTTATTGCTCAGTTACTTATGCATAATTACTCTAGCTCTTCCTAGCGACTACACCCTCACCTATATGTAATATTTGAGGAAATTTGTTTCAATGTTATCTGAAGGAGTGTGCATCTACACATGCTAAGTCTCTCAGTTAAACCCAGAATTTAATTTTGTTAGTCTTGAAGGTGCCACCGGACTCAAACTTTGTTCTCACATCTGTTTGTTAACTCTTGTATTTTTATGCAAATGTATTATTAGTATTATTAGTATTATTTGGTTTGGTGTAGTGGTTAAGTGCGCGGACTCTAATCTGGGAGAACCGGGTTTGATTCCCCACTCCTCCACTTGCAGCTGCTGGATGACCTTGGGCAAGCCATAGTTCTGTCAGAGCTCTTCTTGAAAGAGCAGTTCTCTCAGGGCTCTCTCAGCCCCACCTACCTCACAGGGTGTCTGTTGTGGGGAGGGGAAGGGAGAGGAGTTTGTAAGCTGCTCTGAGACTCCAATTGAAGGGCGGGGTATAAATCCAATCTCTTCCTCCTCCTATTATTATTATTATTATTATTATTATTATTATTATTATTATTATTATTATTATTATTATTATTATTAAATTTGTACTCCGCCCTCCTCGGAAGCAGGCTCAGGGCGGCTTACATTGGTTGGTACACAATTGTACTGCCATTCACAGATCTTACCAACCGCCTTAATCCAATCTCAGCTACAATTGCTCAATTACTTATGCATCTTGACTAACTAGCCCTTCCTGGCAATTAACCCCCCCCCCTTCCTATATGTAATGGAAATTCTGTTTCTTCCTATATGTTAAGGAAATTCTGTTTCACTGTATCTAAAGAAGTGTGCTTGCACATGAAACCTTATACCCAGAATTAAACTCTGTTGGTCTTAAAGGTGCCACTGGACTCAAAGGGTGATTCCACACTAAACCTTAAATCCTGGTTCAACCCTGTCCCCGAACTTACATTCTACACTACATTCGAGTTTACCCCATAATTATCTTGCGGTATTTCCCCCCTCAATTACAATGAGGTCACCCTGGTTTCGCCCCACACTTGTCCCGGGATAAATGGATGCTGTTATAACCATGGATAAACGCAAGGTACTGTCTCAAGAGTTGAATTCTGATAAAACCAGGGATGAGATCCCAGGGCGGAAAGGACCTTACTTTGTTCTGCTGCTTCAGACCAGCATGTCTACCCAACCTCAATCTATTTTATAGCAGGTAGTCAGCCACGTTGGTCTGAAGCAGTAGAACAAATTTAGAGTCCAGTGGCACCTTTAAGACCCATAATAATTGAATAAACTTGTTAAATTCTGGGTTCCATGGATGGTCTGACCCTAAGCATAGTGATCAGCTCTGCTTTATTAGTGATTCGGCAGGAACAAGACGAAGACAAACTGTTAAATAGCATGCAACTCCACCCACTTCCCAAACAACTACCAATGACAGGCCATTATCAGAACCATTAATTCCCCACTGGCCACCTCCAGAGTCCTGGTGGGCTTTTGTTCTAGAGCTCCAAGCTCAGCCAGTCTCTGGTAGAAGCAGCCCTGGAATTTTCCAGTCCCAATATATAACAAAACCTTTTGTTGGTCTTAAAGGTGCCACTGGACTCTTAAAAGTTGAAGCATCAAGTTACCCATCATTATACCAGCCTCCCATTTTCACAGGTATCCAAGTTATCTGATACGAACCTTTTTTCTCATTTTTTTCAGCTTCTTCGAACAAGCCCGGTAAATGTATAACTACCCCGTTACCTAAAAACAATACACAAAAGGTCTGTTGTAAGACAGGGAATCAAATGGTCAAAATGGCAAGTAAGAGCATATGGAGCCAATCAATCGTTTAAAAAATTAAACAAGCTCCTACTGGACTGATCAGATCTCAACACACACACACACACACACACACACACAGAAGGTTATGCCAATTCCTCTACAGGAAACTGCAACTGGGAAGACCAGAGATTAAACCGGAGCCCTTATTATGCCAAACGTGTTTGAAACCACTGCTCTCCTTCGCTTTAAGGGCCATGCCTTTGTGACCTATCATTTATCTCCACTTGAATCTTACACAAATAGATCGCCCTGCCTTCCTTGACCTGAAATGTTTGCGGACAGGTGGATTTGTTAGATTTTGGGGGGGGGGGGGACGAACAGGCGTCTTGTGCCACGTTATATTGTAACATATGCTTTCGTGGACCAGAGACCACTGTGTCCCCTGGATCACCACAAAAAGCTTATGCTAGCATCAAAGTAGAAGTCCTGAAGGTGTCAGAAGACCCCTGTTTATTTTTGACCTCAAGATTTTATTTTACAAAATTTATACCTGACCTTTCTGCCCTTGGGTTGCCAACCTCCAGGCAGAGACTGGAGATCCCCCAGAATTACAGCTGATCTCCAGATGCCAGAGATCACTCCCCCTATAGAATATGGCAGCTTTGGAGGGTATACTCTATGGCATTATACCCCACTGAAGCCCATCGCCTCCCCCAAACCCACCCTTTCAGGTTGTACCCCCAAATCTCCAGGAATTTTCCAACTTGAAGCTGGCAGCCCTGTATCTACCCTCAGAAGGGCCACCAGGTTGGCTAACAATTTAACATACACAATCAAAATATACCTTAAAAACCTTTAAAACAAACAAAAACACATCAGTAAAACCTTTAAAAACATATTAAAACATAAAAACCATTAAAACACCGGGCACTTTAATTTTAAAAAGCCGCCTCTGCTTATGTCATGTTATGAATATGGCAAGAGACCTAAAGTGCACTTAAGCCATTTTAGGCAGTCCAATGCATCTGTTGCTCACCCAGCTTCAAAATACTAGTTAATACAATCTCGCTTCTAACACTGTATATTAGAACATATTTTGCATCTTTTCACCCAACTTGAAAACATTCATAGGGACTGGCTCCAACCTGTAATGCAGAATTATGTCCTAACTGCATGTACCAAATTTCATTCCAATCTCTCCAAGAGATTTAATATGTTACAAACACAAATAGGATAAGTAGTTCAGAGGCTACATCTGCGTCAAGCAGGATATGAACATAAGAACATAAGAGATGCCAATGTTGGATCAGGCCAAAGGCCCATCCAGTCCAACACTCTGTCTCACAGTGGCCAAAAATACCAGGTGCCATAGAAGGTCCACCAGTGGTGCCAGGACATTAGAAGCCCTCCCACTGTTGACCCCACCCCCCAAGCACCAAGAAGACAGAGCATCACCTGCCCCAGAACCCCTATCTATACCTTGTAGCTAATAGCCACTGATGGACCTCTGCTCCATATGCTTATTTATTTATTTATTTAGATTTATATCCCGCCCTAATTATCTAATTCCCTTTTGAAGCCATCCATGCTTGTAGCCGCCACCACTTCCTGTGGCAGTGAATATGCATGAGAGGTAGTATGGCTTTTATTCTGTTTGACCCATCAGACAAAAAGTCACCTTCCTGCGGTGATACTTGTGCCAATCACTTCTCAGCAGCATCCTTGGTTGCGGGTGGAAAAGCCTACCCTGCACGTATGTACGCATGTACCATCAACTCGCAACTGACTCATGGGGACCCCCACCAAGGGGCTTTCAAGGCAAGCGAGAAGCAGAGGTGGTCGTGCCATTGCCTTCCTCTGTAGCTGTTATGTCCTGGGCCCGGAATTGACGGACCTAGCTTGAAACCTAGAACAATGGATAGCTAGGATCCTGGATAGAACCAATAGACCAGGAGTCACACTGTAAATAGCCTATCACGGGTAGTGGGGGTGTGGGGGTGTGTGGTGTTGTGCACGGATTTAAGCAGGGCTTCGGTCCTGCTAGAGTGTCTTAGTGCATAGCTGAATCACGAATAAACTATGAGCTGATCACTACATGCATCTCGAACCCGGTACATTCAGTAGCCTTCCCCAATGTTCCCCCATCCAAGTACCGACCCTGCTTAGCTTCCAAGATTGGGCTACAACATTCCACTGTTCTGCACCAGCCCTGACCTGGATGGCCCAGGCTAGCCTGATTATATCAGAGCTGAGAAGCTAAACAGTGTCAGCCCTGGTTAGTACTTGGATGGTTAGTACTAGGATTGCTACGCAGAGGCTGGCAATGGCAAACTATCTCTGAACCAGTGTTCCCTCTAAGTCGTGTGTGTGAGCAGCCGCTCATTAACACAGGAATCCCCGCCCAGTAGCAGTCTGGAGCCACACGGGGTCTTGCACTGCCCATGCCCCATTTTGAGATTTGTTGTTGTTGTTCAGTCGCACAGTCGAGTCCAACTCTTCGCGACCCCATGGACCACATCACGCCAGGCCCTCCTGTCATCATTTTCAGATTACAGCAGTTATATTCTGCTCAGGACGTGAATTGTTCTTCTGGGGGGGGGGGGAATACAGGGAACATTGCTCTGAATGTCTCTTGCTTAGAAAAACCCCATGAGGGGTCACCACAAGTTGGCTGCAACTTGACAGCACTTTACACGCACGGTTCAGATATCAGCAAAACTAGTTGATACCTCCCTCTACAGACAGCCCTGAACAGCTGCTTTAACAAAATCCATTTTCCTTGTCATAAATCTGCATATTACATTCTAGGAGCATTGGATGTCATATGCTGAAGGTGCAGAAGTATTCAAGATTAATGGGGACCACAGCTGTTCCTTTTTTCTTCCCATGGTGGGGGGTGGGGGGAAACACATACAAATCCAAACGCCTGAAAGCACTGCTCTGTTTGATCATCTTAGATGGCCTTTTACTATTCTTCATGTAACTGACAATCATTAAGACACATTTGCCCCTACATGACACAAGGCTTGGTTTAATCCAGGTACTATCTAAACTGAATCCGATTCAACCCTAAATACATGACGATGTCGGGTTAGACGGGGAACACGTTTACAGGCCACAGGGACTGTGCATGTGACGGACTACATTTAAAATGCTGCTTTTCTAATGCAGCAAAATCTGAGAAGGGAGGTGAATAGTTAACTCTGCTCTAGATTGTTGAGCTTGAGTGACAAGCTGCTCCTTTTCTCTGATTGGCCAGCACCAGCTGAGGGGAATATAAAATCAGCCGCCTGCTGAGGAGAGAGGGAGTTCATTTTTTTTAGTTCTGTGGCAGTTACTGTTCAGTACAATAAAAGTTCGGCTACAGGAGTGGGTCTCTGAAGAGTCTGACTAGAAGTCTGTCAGACAGGTTCACCTTTTGAATATAGGGAGAGACTAGGCTTGCCAAGTCCCCCCTGGGGGCGGGGAACCCCCCGCCCCAGAGGTCCGTTCCCCGCCACCAGCGGATCGGGCCCCTGGGGGAACTCCAACCCAATGTGCACGTCACCCGGAAGTGACGCGACCACGCCGGGCACGCTGACGGCGGGGCCACGGTCGCCCGAGGGAAAACTATGTTTTTCCCTCGGATAGTTGTGGCCCCACCCCCAGCATGCCTTCCGGGGTGTTGTGGTGGGGGCGTGCGCCCCCCAGCCGCAAGCCGGGAGTCCCCCGCTGCGGCTCAGTTCTCACTTGGCAACCCTAGGAGAGACTCCTGGTCTTAACTGTGTTCAACATAACCTGAGAAAGAATTCCATCTAAGAATTCAGAGTCTAGTCTCAGCTTACGCTGAAGTACGTTTTCACACAGACACCAAGAACTGGGATTTGAGATTTTGGCAAAGAGTGACTGGGTAGCAGACTGAAGCTCTCAATGAGGCCAAAAGGAAAAGGATTGTAATTTTCAGGGAAGAAATATAAGTCCTGTCCAGTTATACAGGGAACTGGCACTGAGGCAGTCCCCGGTCTGTTGTGGAAGGAAATGGTTATAGACAATTCAGGGGAAAGAAGTCACACTGTGATTTCAGAAAAGGGGAAAGAATTTGATACACAAAAGAGTGACCTTTCCGAAAACCTGGACAGTTATTAGGAAACTATATGCAGAAACATTGTAACCGAAACTAAAATACTTAGTCAACCATCTCTCACTGAAAAGAACCAAGAATTTGTAAAAATAAGCTGCTACAACACCATCTTGTCAGTCAACTGAAAAATATACTGTTTTACCAAAAATGTTTATCTCAGCCTTTCCAATTCCTGACTAACCCATACCATCCCTGCCTATTAAATAAAATCTTTATTATTGTTCACTGTTACACAGTCTCCAGTGCCATTTCAAAGGATTTAAAAAGAGGGCTCCTGTTTTCTCCTGATAAGTTCCAGGGCTGGGCAAAAGCCAAATCAGATTCTGTCACACGATGGGGCATTCAGATTTATAAAGCTGCAAATATTATCACGCTACTGGGGGCCAACTCAGTACCTGAAGGGAACTAAGAATTCTGGTAGGAAAAATTCTGCCTCACAGGGAAGAATAGTGCAGAACAGAGAACTGTTACGTTAAAGCAGGGGTCCCCAACCTTTTGGAGACCTGTGGGCACCTTTGGAATTTTGACACTGCATGGTAGGCACAACCACAAAATGGTTGCAGCAAAATGGCTGCCACAGGAGCTGGAGTCAGCCACAAAATGGCTGCCACAGTTTACCTTCAACTACACAGTGAAGATCCTTGTATTGCGGTGGCCAAACCTACATTTAAAAAAAAAAAAATCTGTACAGTCAATCAAACCTCCAATGGCCAACGAGAAAAAGTCTTGCTGGACAGAGGTTCCACCTGCTCCTGCCCACATTCTAACATTTCATGAGGAGGAAGAGGAGGAGGAGGAGGAAGAGATTGGATTTAAACGTCGCCCTTCACTCGGAGTCTCAGAGCGACTTACAATCTCC